ATAATACCATTCTCCTTCCGGAAAAAAACTAATATAGTTAAACAATTTCTCAACTCATCACTACAAATGTCCCTTCCACCAAAACATATATCTCCTGCTGAAGTTCGCTGTAAAATATCAAAACTCCCCAGGAAAAACTCTCCTGGCTATGATCTAATAACTTTTGAAATACTCAACCAGTTTCCAAAAAAAAGTTATTGTACTTCTCACCTATATATTTAACTCAATGCTCCGATTATCTTACTTTCCTATGTTATGGAAGTTTTCTACTATCATACTCAGTCTCAAAACAAAAAAACCACTCAACTGTTCATCATCATATAGACCTATTAGCCTGCTTCCAATATTGTCGAAAGTGTTCGAAAAAATATTATTAAAAAGAATCTTAAATATTATCGCTGAATCAAAAATCTTACCTGACTCCCAGTTTGGTTTTCGTACCAAGCATTCCACGATACATCAAAGTCACCGTATAGTAGATAAAATATAATTTTCTCTAGAAGAAAAACAATATTGCACTGGGGCCTTCATAGACGTTTCTCAAGCGTTTGACTGAGTCTGGCACGCAGGGCTTTTATTTAAGTTGAAATTCATCTTACCGTCTACTTATTATCTTTTACTAAAATCCTACATAGAAGATCGTTTTTTCTCGGTACGTTACGGTTCATCCATCTATTCACCAAAACCTATAAATGCAGGAGTCCCCCCAAGGCGCAGTCACTGCTCCTCTGTTATTTAATATTTTCGTATCTGATCAACCCACACTGCCCACTAGCCTCATCACTGACTTTGCCGATGACAAAGCTATTATAACCGATAGTCACGATCCATCCATTGCTTCCTCGCATATTCAGGAACATCTATCTCTCCTCGAAAAATAGTATAAAGAGTGAGGTGTGAAAATAAACGAATTTAAATCTATCAATGTACCTTTAATCTTAAGAAAGGAATATGCCCACATATTCCTTTAAATAAGAAAATCTTGCCAACCGCACAGAGCACTCGCTATCTAGGCATAATTATTGATCAACGCCTCACATGGTCTCATCTTCGCAACAAACTTTTATCCTTAAACAATCGTTTTCGTCTTCTCCGCTCTCTCCTAACCTCCAACCACATAAAACTACTAATCAAGCTACTAATATATAAACTTCACCTTAAACCAATGTGGACTTACGGAATTCAATTATGGGGCCCTGCAAAAATTTCAAACACTAACCGTATTCAACGCTTTCAATCCAAAACGCTCCTAGTTATAACTAAAGCACTTTTTTACGTATCCAACCAGACTCTATATAACGATCTTGCCATCTCACCCGTCTGTGATGTAGCTAGAACTTTTTATAGACAATTTAACTTATCTGCTAAAAACTACGGTAATCCCCTAATCAAAGGACTTGCATCGGTAAACATACTCGACAATCCTAAAAAAAAACTAAAAAAGCGGTGGTGTCGGGACCTATTAATTTAGTTAATTGCCTAATTGTATTTATAATTTTATTGTAAACTCATAAAAATGTACATAAATCGCTGACAAAGTGTCTTCACTGGAAGGCTTCTTAAATCTGTCCCTTCTCCAAGCTACTTTTTATTCACTTATCTATTTTACTTACTGTTCAATTTTATGTAACAGATTGTAAAAAAAAAAATATTTATTCTGAGTATGCTAGGTGGTCTGGTTGTATTATTTTGGATCCATTAATAAATCCAGTTCTATTTTTTTGACGCGCTTTTGAAGTTAGCTGAACATTAATATTTTTTTTTTGTACTTTTTTTCCCCAAATTTACCAATAAAGCTGTTAGTTGGGCATTACTGCGAAATTTCTATAATACATTATTAGTTTTTTTTTTTTAAATATTTATCATCGAATAATCTTTGTTCGTCGAAACTTATTCAAGAACCTTATTCAAATTGTCTTTTAAACGTTCTGCTTCAGCTTCATACTTATTTTCAATATTAATGTCTATAGTATTACTACCCATAGTGTATTAATTTAGACTATCACATGATTTGTTTGCATTAAAATATTTTCTTTCTGCACCTTGTGTGTAAACTGTCAAATGTTGTTGTAGGCAAAGTCATATTATTGAAAAATTGTTCATCATCTTTATTTAAAAACCCTAATGCGATTTCGGCTAAATGTATTCTGTCAGTTGTAGATGAAGTCGGAGCAATTACAATATTAGAAAATATTTCATACACTGCGCATAAATATGGATTCACACATGTTTATATCTGAACACATTATGTATAATACATTGTCATCAGTTGATGATTGAACTGAAAATATATTTGTATCTATTTGAATTACAATCAGATTTATAGAAGCATGGACGAATTTTAAACATGATAATTCAATTTTTGTTACACGTTTAATCACGAATTATAGACGAATTTTATGAAATCGTTCAATAACTATAGATATGAACACATATGTTAATGCACACATATTAAACGCTTTATATTTTACTAATACTATGTCTTTAAATATCCTCATTGTTGATTCAAAAATATTGTTGGTGTTTTTACCTCAAATAGACAATTTTAAACAATAACATAAACATGGTGTCTTTCTTTGTCATAATTTTTCTATGTATTTGATATAATTTATATATTTTTTAAATATATTATCAAAATTAAGTGTTTTTATTGCTAACAAATTTATTAAATATTAGCGACCTGTCCCGGCATGTGAATTATCTGGATCTGCAATAAAATAAATTTGTAGAAATTTGTGATCATCTGGTCGATTTGGTAGCAAGCTCCCAGCTAAGTGATACACTTGCCCTTGAGTTTAAAATGTAGGCATAAAACCATACTAAACGACTTGCTTACTTTGAAAGAAGTAATTTAAAACGCTTTATTATAATGGCATATATAGTGTATGAATTGTTTGGAGACCAATCGCGTGGACTACCCGAACGGCTATCCGTTGGACCTGAGTTCTGACGACAAAGCAAACGCGTTCAGCATCGATGACAAGACTTACGACGACGACACTGATCAGCCGGCCACAGTTTGGAAGATCAACGTGGTGGGCGAGCGTATGGCTAAACCGGTGGTCAATGGTCAAACGCAGGACGACAACGACGAGAACGATGAAGAAACCCTGATATAATGTTGGATCCATTTTAGTAATCACTGTAGCAATTTTTAAAAACCCTAAGGCTGGGGTCACACGGACGCACTAAGTACGCACGTTGTGACGGACGTAATATTTAACACACGTACTAAAGAGGGCACAAAAGCGTGTCAATATGACATCCGTTAAAATGTTGTAATCATTGATTTTGTATCTACTTGGTTGTAATGTTGTAAAAACGTATTACGTACTACTTTCACAAACTCTTTTTCTAAGTATGCATCTAGACGAAGTTTTTTCCTACAGTTCTTTAACCTATTTATTCCTGAAACAAAAACAGACTAAATGCGTATAAATTGTTTGGATTTCAGATAATCACCCGTAAGGAGAGGTGAAGTGGTTGGTTCAGGTGGAGGAAGAATTTCTTCTAATTTTACTTTTCCTTGTAAGCAACACATGACTTTCGATGAGGGCCGTCCCGAAGATGAAAATCAAGGGGGGGGGGAGGAGTGAATAATATGAAAAATGCCGACTACAATTTTTTTACTCCATGTAAGTAATATAATTAACTATATGTAGTCATATTTTTACTTTTTAACATGCATATATGTGTCAGTGTCGCACATTCTTATAATTGACAATTTAATTATATATATATAATAATATTTTATATTGTATAATAAGGAATACCTATTATAAATTTTATTCATGTATACACTGTATTACGAAATATGTTATCTTTGTTTTCCATACCTAAGTAAAATTAGATCCTCCTTAGTTATATTGAATAAATAAGTGCATACGTTATTCAGTAATCACCTGGTACAATGGTGGACGATGGTACCTACGTACAGCACGGTAGTAGACGAATAATCATGGTACGCGTACCTCTTGAGGGTACTCGAGATTTTTTAAGGGGCACGAGTCTGGCCAACAAACCTTTAAATTTAAATAATTTATGTGGAAAATGGTTATTCAAGTTTAATATATGTTAAAAGTAAATATAGAACCCTATATTGATCAATTGTGCCAACAAAAACAAGCTCACCCTTCTCACTAATTTTATTGAAAGTAAGCTCTTTTTGTTTTTAACATTGTTTGTGTGTTAGTTTTTCATGAAATAAAAATGCACGCAAATTTTAAAATTGTTTTATATTTATTTTAGTTTACTAACTAAGAAAGGGTATCTAAAAAAGTTTATTGATAAAAAGGGGTACAGTATTTATAAAAATTTGAGTTTCTTGCTTAAAACTGACAAACTGTAAACTAGATTGAAATATACTACATACCCACACAATATTTTATTGTTATTGTATTTTCGCTGCAGCCTGCTGATATTTTTATTATTGTAAAGATTCGGTGAAATTCAAATAATATCTGGGTATCCCTGAAAAATTGTTGATAAGTCTCTGTGTCGTCGAATTTAAACAAATTAATTTCAGTTTTGCCGTGTATATAAAAATACCAATTATTTTATAATAAAATAAAAATAGTATACTATAAAATAAATAACAACAATTTCCAATATATAAGGGCTTTTTTTTTAAAGTCGGGGATGTCCAGATATGAAGGACACCCCTCCGAAATACGCCACTGCGTACACCGCACATGGTTGCAAAAACTAATAGCTTATGAGGACCTTTAACCATATTTTCTACTTGTTCTTTTTTATTTTATATTATGATTATTTCTTGCATTAAACAGTAAAAATTAAGAGTCGACTCAGCAACATAGACAAGAATACTCGGCAATTCAATACAACATTACCAAGTACCAACACTGAAAATTAATTTAGGTGTAGTGTGTGATAATTTGTCGGCTGAAAAACATTTTATAATTTTATAGATTTGATTGATACATTAAGATTTAAGTTCAAATCATGACTTGGTTTAGATATGATTTGACTTATCAATTGAGAATTAAGAGCTGATTTAGTGAATTGGGAGTTGACTCGATGAATTGACTGAAGTGGATTGAATCGATTCATCAAAGTGCGTCACAATTCCTATCTCTATTGATTACAGATACTGGCTGTATAGAAATCATCTCGTCAGTGTTTCGTTACATTGTAACAACATTAATCAACATATAACTACTATAAGCAACAGCGCCATAATTTTTCAATTTCATTACACGATATTTAGTGACTTTAATATTTCTCGTTATTATATTTAGTGTAAAGATATCAATAATATACAAACATTTTCGACCTTTCTATAACTAACTGGTTCTGATCGATAGTTGAACCGTTACGAACAATTCGACTTTGACGATTTGAATTTTTTCTACAGGTATAGTTTGATAGTAAGTGCGAAATGCAGCTATTCACACAAGTAGTTTTGACCACGTGCACAATATGGGCTTTGACGGGTGCCTCCGTCTTGAACTTGACGCCGTGTTCACCATCCATTTACAAAATTATGTCTTCGGGAAAAACTCAAGGCAGTAGGACCCGAACGCGGAGTCCAAGATCCTGTTGCTTTCTGGGAAAATGGACATGGTCGCGGTCGTCGTCCCCGGCGCCATCCAGTGTTTCACCGACCACGTTTTCTCGGATCTCGGTATCATCGAGCTACCACTCGAGTACTTTTGCAGAGACGCATAAGCCACCAATGCCCGTATCGACGGTGACAGCGCATCCAGTGTCTCTGAACTCGATGCGTACGACATCCGTGAACATGACATGCTCGGTGACTGGAGACGTAGGTAGTAACTGTTCCGCAATCTCGCAGCTGTGCAACGCTATTGTGTACGCGGTCACGATGAAGCAATGGCAAATCGGGTCGGCGCCCGCAACAAACCCTGGTCTGCGTAAGTGGCCACGACGGAGATTGCCGAAAAAAATGACCATGACCACCGGATATGTCAATTGGTTGCCCGGCGGTAACCTGCAGCCAGCGGATGGTTATAAGGATCCGATCGTAGCGCAGGAGACCAATCGCGTGGACTACCCGAACGGCTATCCGTTGGACCTGAGTTCTGACGACAAAGCAAACGCGTTCACCATCGATGACAAGACTTACGACGACGACACTGATCAGCCGGCCACAGTTTGGAAGATCAACGTGGTGGGCGAGCGTATGGCTAAACCGGTGGTCAATGGTCAAACGCAGGACGACAACGACGAGAACGATGAAGAAACCCTGATATAATGTTGGATCCATTTTAGTAATCGCTGTAGCAATTTTTAAAACCCTAAGGCTGGGGTCACACGGACGCACTCAGTACGCACGTTGTGACGGACGTAATATTTAACATTATTATGTTTATAATAATAATAATACTAATTATTATTTTTGTATTATATTATAATTACTTGTGGACGGGTTAGGATCATCTGGATGGGATACAACGTGCGTATTGTATATATGACAATGCGGCCGTGTGACCACGCAACCGACGTTCACATTTAAAACAATACAATTTTAAAATCTCTCAACGACCCTGGAATTTCTTCACAACACAGGACTACTCACCAAATTTTTATCTTTATACCTATTAACTGTCTTTATCTTTTCGTTTTATGTTTATTCTATTTATATATAAAATGACTAATCACGTATAATACTGTATAATAATAAATAATATTATGTTTGTCCAATGGGTTAAGAAGCCGCAGACTTTGTTTCGTTAATAAAAAAAAAAAAATTAATTTTTTTACTTAATATGTTCGACGTTTGTTATACGTGCGTTTAAGAAATAATACGACGATAAAATTTGACATGCATTATTTTTTACTCGTGTGCCGTAATTCCCGTAGTTCTACGATGCACGTCAAAAAGTACGTGTGTATCGACGCATTTTATGCGTTTGTGTGGCCCTAGCCCAAAGCGTACCCGGAACAGAATATTGAGCAGAGAATTATAGCAAATTTAGGATATACAAACAGTAAATTTTGATTTATCAAAAACCTATACCATTATGTCACTTAAATATCACAGGTAAGGCTGTATTGAGGTCTGGTGGTGCCCCTAGCGAATCACTATATTTGCGCTCCCCCCCACCAATGGGAAATTTGCATTTTTTTACAACAAGTCATTTAAGATATATAAAGCATGAATAAAAACATTATATACAAGGTAATAATTACTAATAAACTTTAATAACTATTTATATTACTTTAAAATATAAATAATCAATACATTATAAAAACATGTAATTTTCTTCAAATATTTTTTTTACAATTGTGTTAGATGATTTTAAATTTATTTAATATAATATTACAATGGTACTTTTCTTGGTTTTATGGAGGCAAATTTATCAATGGCATTATCAAATGAAATTGTTTTAACTAGGTACATATTTTTCAAGGCCATTTACTTTTGATGGATATTGTAATATCATAAGCTAATATCCACGTATTATTATATTTTATGCGCGCTACTTAATAAGTAATTTAAAATATTATACAAATGTCATTACTAGAGCCCGGATTTATATTCATTTAAAAAGTGTCGAATATAATGCAAATATGCAAAAAAAAAATGGCTAAATATGCAATTATATGCATTATGTTGCACTTTATAAAATGTGTTTTTTTTTTAAAAATCACACTTATATACCAAATAAAATTCTAAATATTTTATCAAAAACAAAAAAAATGGTAATATCGACTGCTTTATATTTCAAATAATTTAAATCGATCTAAAACTTTTAGGAAACTTTAAAATGATAATATAAATAAAAAAAAAAACTAAAAATAAATATTTTAGATCATTTGAAGTTACCTACTCTCAAAAAATTAATAGAAAACTTAAAAAAAATACAAATCTTTTAAAATAACATTTTTGAAACTTTAAATATTTTAAACATTAATAATATAAAGTTTAAAACTTGTCAGAACAACACTTAAAATTAAAATATTAAAATAGGTTCTATTAATAATTTTCATAACAGTGAACAATAATATATTTTTCCATATTTTCTGATGTCATTGAAGTTCTTTTTTCAGAATTTTTTTTTAGGATTGACTTATAGGTACTAAAAGACCTTTCTATATCCACCGAAGTTATCGATGCAAACATCATACTTGAATACATAGAAGTTACGTTCGGTGGCATAATACTGTTTTCTTTCCCTGACAAAATGGCTGTTATTTGCCACAGCGTATATGAAGGGGAGGCATAGGGGAATTTGCCCCCCCCCCCCCGATGTTTCGTACTTTTTTTGAATATAATACATTGATTTATTTAAAAAATGTAATGTATAAAAAATTAAGAATATAAATTACTAGTCTATCATTATAATAAGTTTTCATTATAACTTAGTCGCGATTTGCACCTTGCCCGTTACTCACATTATCATACGTACGCTCCTTTTAATTGTTGTGATCCCAATATTATTTCGTGTTCGAATGTGACAAGTTTACTTCGTAAAAATTCAAAATCACCAAGCTTATAATATATAACTTATAAAAATGCAACAGCGCTCAATGCGCGTTATTTTCAAAATGTTAAAAAATTTTATGCGTTTAAAACCAACCAATTACCGTTTATACAAATACAATATTGGTCGCGCTATCGCTGCAACGTACGTGACCTTTATTCTCAAGATAATATGTCGTGGCCTTCAAATATATCACCGAAATAGAAAAATAAAAATAATAATAATACACTATCTACTCATTTAAAAACAACTAATGATCTTGTAGACGTTATTGAAAATATGGACGACGATTCGAATAATTGGTACGAAGTCAAATTATCAAAGGACGGTAAACGAAATCATTCTAGCTCTTTCGAACAAAACACTCCATGATCACCGGTGAAGAAAAATAAAGTTTTTTTTTTCTGCAAATCGTTACGAAGTATTATCACAAAACGATCATGATACTATGCTCCCAACGATTGATACAACTAATATTAATATTAAAAAACCTGTAGCATCCCTACACGTTGAACCTAAGTTTGTTCTATCTCCACCAATATTCTCAAGACTATTACACGTTACATTTACTGATCTGTACACAAAACTCATTGAGATTATTGGTATCGACAATTTCCACTGCAAAGCTCTGGCAGACCACCTCAAAATTATGACAACCAATTCAGATTCATACTGAACTCTGGTCCGTTTCTTAAGAGAGGAAAAAGTTTAATTTCACACCTACCAGTTCAAAGAAGATAAACCATATCGAGTTGTCATTCACAATCTTCACTCAATTACTCCGCCGGAGTTAATCAAATCCGAACTCGAACAACGTCTATTTATAGTCAGGCAGGTTTCAGCCATCCTGCACATAGTAAATAAAAATCCACTACCTTTGTTCTTTGTGGACCTCGAACCAATCAGCCAATCCAATGACATCTTCCAACTCACGTCCTTTCTCCACACAAAAATTAAGGTGAAGGAACCTTATAAGACTAAAACTGTTAGTCAATGCATTAATTGCCAAGTATATGGACACATCAAATCGTACTGTGGCTATCCAGCTCACTGCGTTCGCTGCGGTGGTCATCATTTATCAGTAGACTGTCCGAACACCTATGATGCCCAACCCAAGTGCGCTCTCTGCTCTGGCGATCATCCATCAAATTACAAAGGATACCCCCTTTATAAGGATCTACAACGAAAAAAAAAAGTCAAAATCAAGTAATCACTTAACTAATAATTTTAGATTTAAAAATACTTATGTATAAGATACCCTCACAGTGAAAGCCTCCAGGACATACCCTTTAGAATCGACTCCAACTTACGCCCAAGCTACTTCTAATTCTCATTCCAATCATACGGTACCTTCACCTAATCCAGACATAGACAAAATAATATCAACCTTTATTAATGAGTTTAAACAATTAATTAATCCTTTAATCGCCCTACTAAACAACATAACTTCAAAACTTCTAGATTAAAAATATGTCTTCTCCTACAAGGAACTCGCTTATGACTCTCCAATTTAATACTAACAACCTCAAAAATCACCAAAATTAATTACAGGTAGTACTACAGGAAAAACGTATCGATATTGCTCTAATATCAGAAACGCATTTCACTAAATATTCCCATGTTCCCATAAATGGGTATAATCTTCAAAAAACCAACCATCCAGATAATACTGCGTATGGAGGTGCTGCAATTTATAACAAAGCCTCCCTAGTATAACAAAATCTCCCTAACTTTTGTCAGCCAAATTTATAATCTTGTGCCATATTAATGCATCTCAATAACGTACCGACCACAATATCTGTAATATATTTTCTACCACGATATAATATGAACTTTCAAAATTACGTTGATTACTATAGCACACTTGGCCATAACTTTATTATAGGCGGTGACTACAACGCCAATCATTACAGCTAGGGCTGCTGCACAAACAACCCTAGAGGTAATGTACTTCATAATTTCATAACTCAGAAAAGCTTCAAGGTTCTTGCTCCCCCTGGACCAACTTATTAGCCAACCTCATTTGGCAAAAAACCCGATATACTCGACATTTTTGTTTCCAACACACCAAGCAGCATCTACTTCACGACTTCTAATCTACTTGAACCTAGCTCAGACCATTTAGCTGTCCTTCTAACTGTTAGTGTTGCTCCTCCAATTCGTTCTTGTCTACCAAAGCTTTTCCACTTGATCACTGATAAGTAAAAATTCCATGATTTGGTTAATCAAAACATTAACCTTAAAATTAGTCTTAAAACCACCCAAGAAATTGATGAAGCCGTTAATAATTTTACGATCGTTATTCAAACTGCAGCATGGGATGCTAGTATTATACACAGACAGCACATAAACCACTCCCCTTCAATTCCTAAACATATTCGTTTATTAATAGCTAACAAACGCAGAGCAAGGGCCCTATAACAACGATATTGCCTCCTTTCTCTCAAGCGTAACTTTAACAACCTGGCAAACTCTCTAAAAAAAATTCTTTCTAACCACAAAATTCAAGCACAAGCCAACTACCTTGCAAATTTGTTATCGAAAGACGGTGGCCTTTGGTTAGCCATTAATAAACCCATCCGGTAGATTTGCATCTTCAGACGCTGACAAAGCAGAACTGTTAAAAATTCACCTAGCAAAAATGTTCACGCCACATTCTGATATAAAAATTCCCCAACACGCAGCTTTAGTTAACAGATTTCTCGATAGCCCACTTCCACCTACTCTTCCATCGAAATATTTTACTCCCAACGATATTAAAAATGTAATTCAGAACTATAGCCTTAAGAAATCCCTTGGTTATGATCTTACCACAGCGGAAATAGCCAAATGCTTCCCAAGAAGATCAATTGTCTTGCTAACGGTTTTTAATAAATGCCTCTCTAAGATTAGCTTACTTTCCACAACTTAGGAAATTTTCAACAATAATTGTAATTCCAAAACCTAAAAACTCACTTGATATACCCTCTTCATATCGACCTATAAGTCTTTTGTCCTTTTTTGCAAACATTTTTGAAAGGCTTATTCTTAAAAGAATTCTGCCATACATTTCTTCAAGTAACATACTTCTGAACACTCAATTTGGCTTTTGTGCCTCCTATTCCACAACTCATCAACTGCATAGATTAGTAGATGCTATTTCGTTCTCTCTTGAAAAGAAATAACACTGCTCATGCGTGTTCCTTGATGTCTCACAAGCCTTCGATAGGGTTTGGCATGAAGGGCTGCTATATAAACTGAAAGCTTTTCTTCCCCAACATATTTCTTACTCATTAAATCTTACCTTTCGGATCGTCACTTTCAAATCAAGTTTGGCTCTTCCTTTTCAAATGTTGAAAAATTTGTGCAGGAGTCCTTCAAGGTGGCATTCTTTCACCAATACTATATAATATATATGCAGCAGTCCAACCTACCTCTCCAACATCTGTAGCTGAATTTGCGAATGATAAGGCAATTATATCAGTACATGAAGACCCACACATTGTTTCTTTAAATCTTCAAAACCACCTATACCTAATATCTGTCTGGTATGAAAAATGGCAAGTTCAAGTCAACCAATCAAAAGTCAATCATACTACGTTCACTCTTCGTCTTCCTCCCTACCCAGAAGTCCCCCTTAGTAACAAACCAATCCCTTCATCCCATTTGGTAAGTACATAGGCCTAACCTTTGACTGCCGCTTTACCTAGGTACTTCATATCAGAACTTAAAAACTCATCCTAAACGAACGACTAGGTTCAATTAAAACACTAATATCTAACAAACACACTAAACTAAACACCAAACTTCTCATGTATAAATCATTAATCAAGTCCATGTGAACTTATGGCCTACAATTATAAGGTAATGCAAAAAAAAACCAATATAAATAAAATACAAACCGTTCAAAATAAAATTTTAAGATTAATCACTAACGCCCCATCATATGTCTCCGACTACACTCTGTATGTAGATTTAAATATTAAAACAGTTCACGCTGAAGCAGTAACATATTACAAAATATTCCATAACAGACTTCCATATCATCTTGATCCCCTTATATCCAACTTAGCTTCTTGCACACAATTCCAGGCAATCCCACACGACGACTGAAAAGAAATTGGTGTCGAGATTTACTAAATGAATAAATTAAAATTATAAAAAAAAAATTATTAATAAACAAATAGGTAGTGCTTTCATTGGATGGCTTCTTCCCTCACGCTTTCATATACAAAATATTATATCATATATTCTTATTGTGCCCAAGGGTACAGGTTATATAATTCTTGTTAAAATAAAAAAAAAATAAATCATTATAATAAGAACATGAGCTATAGGTAATGAACTGTAAATTATTTTAGTTTGTATTGAAGAAAAATTAATTCCCCCCCCCCCATGGCCTCAACTCAAATACGCCCTTGTTATCAGCTTCGCGATTTAGAATATAAAATTTTTTCAATTAAATACAACAATTTTTCTTGAATTATTTTTCCTTTTTGTAATAATTTTTTTTTTATTCAATCACGATGTGATAATTTATAAAATGATAACAGTACGTATGTTTGTTAATACCTATCATGTATATTTGAGGCGATTACAAAATTTACAGTTAATTAAAATAATTAATTTATTAAAAACCATTAAATATGCAAGATATATGTATTTATGAACAAATATGCAATAAAAAATTTGGTGTTTAATTCGATGTGATATGAATCGTGGAAATTTTAAATCTCCATGGATGTGCATACACTTAGTACAAACAGTGCCGGTGCTAGAGGGGGGCAAGCGGTACGGCCTCACCGGGCCCTGCGCTTGTATGGGGCTCCACAGGGGTATATTTATGGAGGGGCTAAGGGGTCTTCAGCCCCCCTCCCCGAAATTCAGGAATTGTTTATTAAGTCTGCTTATTTAATGAGAGAAGATAGGTAATGAGGGTAGGAATGTTCACGGAATCGAAGGCGCCGCGGATGTCAACAAATGTGGCGACAAGGAATTCCTTATTATTAAAAGCATGGTAAATGTTACCAATGAAAGTCGAGAGGCATTCCATAGTACCCAAACCCTTCCTAAAGACAAACAAGTTTGCAGGTAAAACAGAGTTGGATTCTAGCCACCAATCAAGTCTTGTTTTCAGCATATATTCGAAAACTTTGCAAAGAGAGGAAGAGAGAGCAATTGGACGAAAAGAATCATTAGAATTAGGTTTGGGGATAGGGATGACACGATAAGATGTCCATGAAGGAGGAACCTGATTGGATGATAGAATGTTATTCATAATAGATAGAAGGTAAACCAGAGCATTTGAGGGGAGGTGTTTTAGCATGATAGGTGAAATGTTGTCAAGACCGGACGCAGTAGATTTTCGTGAAGATATGGCTAAATTTAATTCTGACATGGTAAAAATATTGGTGAGAATATGGGGTGGAGAGTATAGAGAGTGATCAGAAGGGCAAATCTCTGATATAGAAGGGACATAGCACGGAGCGACTTTAAAACAAGAAGAGTCGAACCAATCGTCATTATCTGGAGGTCTGACCGGGTTGATACAGTTTTTATAGCGCTTAGCTGTTGACCAAAGGTGATGTATGGGGAAAGATGGATTTAGATTAGAACAAAATTTTTTCCATTTTTTCCTCTTTTCATTTTTTAATAGCCTGGTAGTTTGGGCATAAGCGTTTTGGTAATTAATAAAGTCAAACATGGAGCCTGAGCGACGAAAGTTTCTAAAAAGAAGAATTCTGTTTTTGACAGCTTCGGTACAGTCAGAATTCCACCAGGGAGGGGAGGGTGGATAGGGATTGGAATTTAATCTTTTCTTAGGAATTGTAGGATTGGCGGAGTTGTTTATAATACTTGTAAAGGTAGAATAGGAAAAAACTGGAGAGGGAGAATTTGTCAATGAAGAGATAGAATTATGAATTTGAATAGAATACGATGACCAGTTGGCTTTATTGAAGTTAAAAGGTAAATGGATTGGAGGTGCAGAATCCAAAGCGGAACAAGATGGCACAGGATCAGCGATCCTGTTAAAATTAGTTGATATGATAATGGGGATATGATCGCTACCGTGAGGATCATTAAGGACTTGCCAAGATAAATTCCAGATAATATCAGGGGAACAAAAAGATAAATCAATTGCCGAGTTAGTTGAGTTGGGGCAACCCACATGTGTAGGACTACCATCGTTGAGAGTACAAAGACCTAATGAGTCAATGCAATCATAGATCTGAGAACCACGGCGGGATGTAAGTTGAGAGCCCCAAGCGGGATGAAATGCATTAAAGTCGCCACCAAGTAGCGTATTATGCGATATCAGGTTAAAGAATTCATGCCATAAATTGGAAGGAACATTAGAATTACTGGGGATGTAGCAGGACCAAAATTTTAAAGGAGGATGTGAGTTGATAAGATGCACTTCGATACCTATGATGTCGATTTTACAGTGGGTAAATCTATTTCTGGTAGCGATATCTAAAGGAATTTTTTTGGATTTGAGGGAGTTATGGACAGCTGTAGCTACACCACCATAGCCATCGGAGCGGTCGGATCTATAGGTTTTGAACTGCGGTATTGTAAGGGCACGTGAAGGTAAAAGCCAGGTTTCAGAGAGAAGTGCAATTGAGCATTTATGATCGGATAGGAGGTGTTGTAAGGATGGGAGACGTGCAGGGAGACTTCTCACATTCCACTGAATAATGTTAGTGTGATTGTTGGAGATATTCTGGTTTTTATATTTATGTAAAAAACCATGGTAATTTTAATTTATTTTGTTTTGTAATATGTTAGTTTTTGAGTCAAATATATTTAGTATTTTCTATAACTGTGGTGAGGACATTTGGTGTATAATACAAGACTAATCAGAGGTGAAATTAGAATCTGGAATATTAAGGAGTGAATTTAGAGAAGATTCAATTAAGGACTGAAGAGAGGCGGATGAGAAGGGGTAAAATAGGGAGGGGGAATTTATAAGAGATTCAGAGAGTTTAAGAGAAAGAGAATGAATCCAAGATAGATCAGCAGATTTATTGTCTCCGGTAAGGCTTTGATTAGGGAGATTGGTTAAACAGCAACCGTTAGGTGAAGAAAAATGAGGTTCAACTGGTAAATTTAATTTGTCTTTATTAATCGGGGAGCGAGATTTTTGTTTTATCTTCCTAGAATTGAAATAATGATGGTGATTATTTAGCCTGGGGAAGTTTTCTTCCTTTAGGGAGATATTTGGTTTTAATATTTCAGAAATTGGAGGCTGGCTCTTAACAACATCGGAAAAAGAATAAGCAGTAGTGTAACAATTATTTTTTTTAAAAATTAAGGCATCCTTATAGGAAATATTTTCGGTGGCCATGATGTGTTTAATTTCTTTTTGAGTGGACCATTCGCGGCAACTACGATCAGTGGCTAAGTGAGGTTGCTTGCAGAAGAGACATACAGGATCAGTGGATTGAGCGCGTGGGCATAAATCAACCGAATGATTGTTTTCACCGCAATGACTGCACCTGGGACAGCTACGACAATATTTTTGTGTATGTCCAAAACGTAAACAACGATTGCATTGAACGGGAGACCGGACACTGGGCTTGACATCAAAGATCATATTAAATACAGAGATAATGGATGGTATTTTCGGAGCGACGAATTTAAGTTCAACTATACGTGTTTGAACGATTTTATCATCTTTTTTAATACTGATGCGTTTGAATGCATCAATCTTGACTGAGGATCGGACGCCTTCGAAAAATTCAGTTTCTGAGACTGTAGTGTCTAATTTTATTATTCCGTAAGAAAAAATTAGCGTAGAAGGTATAATTGCATTATAGTTATTCTCCTTTAAGATGCTTGAATTCAAGCAGCAATTACCATTAAAAATTGTGTCGAAAGAAATTTTTATTTTTTTTGAACCCGCAGGTTTAATATTAGTAATACCAGAGAAATTGTTAGAGAAAAATTTAGCGGCCTTAATAGGATGCCAGTTTCCTAAATTTATATTAGCGTCCGTACTTTCAACGAGAATGGTTATAGGCCCGATATAATCTGGCGAAAACGACTTTTGTAATAAGTTGATATGTTTATTAGTGTTTGCCATATCGCTGTTGGTTGGGCAGGTAGATTGATTAGAAGTATCATTAAGTGAAGAAGACGTACAACCAATATCGAACTCATTAGAACGATCATTAACAATCAAATCCATATCGTTAGCCGTAGACCCCGACGTAATTGCGGTTAGTGTAGATAAAGAGCTAAGTCCCCCCTAAGTTCTGCAATGTTCTATCTGCTCTCTTCAATTTCAGAAAACTTGTTTTCTTCTCTCCCTTCAGATCGTCAAACACTCGATCCACTTTCACTGGACTTCCACAAGGTAGCTGCCTCAGCCCAATCCTATTCAATGTATATATGAGTATTGTTGAAAAGCATCTCTTTCAGTCTGGTCATAAATGTCTTATATACGCTGATGATTTAGTAATATTCTCTTCTAATAAACATCTTAATCTTGCTATCGATAGCCTCAACTCTGCCCTGATAGATCTGAATGACATTCTAATCAAAGTGTCTTTTGATGTTGCCCCTGAAAAATGCAAATCGATCATTTTCACTCGTCGTAGATATTTAAACAACCTTAATACATATCTCAACAACTATGTTATCCCTTTTGTTCCCAATATTACCTATCTTGGCATCACTCTCGACCTCAAATTGCGCTGGATTCCACATATTTCTACTCTCACAGCGTTTGTTTCTCGATGGTCCAACTTCCTTTGATCGGTAACTGGTACTTGGTGGGGCTCTCACCCTTCAAGTCTATTATCTATATATTTGTCTATTATACGCTCCAAAATTGATTACGGATGCTTTCTTTTCGGATCGGCTTCCTTTTCTAATTGGAAAAAAATCAATAAACTCCAAGCCTCATGTATCAGAACCATTATGGGTTACGTCAGTTCTACACCTTGCCCTGCTATGGAAGTTGAATCTACTTGCCCTCCATTTAATATCAGATGCCGCTGGCTTGCCGGCAAATTTCTCTTGAAATCACTATCCTATAGCGATCACTGTATCTTTGACATTTATTACTCACTGTACCTTAATTGGCGATATGTTCCTAAATCTATGCCCGTATTATCAATTATAGCACATTTTATCTCAAATTTCCACCAATATATTATCAATTCAACTAAACTCCCTCTTTACGAGCAATCCTACGACTCTCTTATCTTTTCCCCTCAGATTCATTCTGATAATAAATTTTTAGATCTATCCTCCAATGATTTTAAATCTATGTCTTCTTCCTCGGTTAATGCAGCCGTTTTGAATTATCTTAATGAACGTTTTTTAAACTTCATCGCAATTTATACTGATGGATCAGTCTCCCCTCTCTCCGCTGGATATGCGTTCTATATTCCTGATCTACAGCTCTCTTTTAACAATAACCTTCCTCCAACGTTTTCTTCCTTTACAGCTGAGTGCTATGCCATCACCGCAGCCTTAAAACTTATTCAAAATTTTCCCCCCAACAATTACTTAATTGTCTCAGATTCTATGTCGTGCCTCCAAGCCTTAAATTCAAACCCATTTAACTCTCACCTGTCTCCACTTATTCTTCGCATCAAGTCTCTTATTTTTACATTAAATCAAACTAACTATAACATCCACTTTCTTTGGGTTCCTAGTCATACAGGCATACATGGTAATGAAGTTGCAGACCACCTTGCTAAATCTTCATCCAATCTCATCTTTCCTTCTATTTCTCAACTCCCCCATTCTGACTTCACATCGCTTATAAAACAATACTCTACTAATATTTGGTTCTCTCTCTCGAACAATCTACCTGCCGAATTCGCCTCAAGATACAGAAATATTACACCAAATATCCTAAAAAAAACCTGGTTCAATAACTTACACTTACATAGACCATATATAGTACAATTTAATAGGCTACGCATAGGACATCACCTTCTTCCTAGTCACTCCTTCAAACTTGGCCTTAATGATTCTCCATTCTGTACTCTTCACTTAAATGAATGCATTTGTGACTTATCCCATATTCTACTCGACTGCCCTGCACTTCAACTCAATTGCATTATTTTAATTAATGAACTTAAGACTCTTAATATCCCCTTAAATATCCACTCCATACTTAACACAAAATCCACTACCGCCATCAAATTAATAATTTCCTTTATATTGGATGCTGGCTTCATTATTTAATATGTACAATAATGTTTAATGTATAATGTTATTTTATTTATAATCTCTGTAAATGTCGAGCTATCATAGTTGTATACTAATAGCTAATAATAAAAAAAAAAAAAAAAAAAAGTCTGCTTCTTATGTCCTATCAGATGTAAATCGTAAAAGTTCAATATAATTTTATAAAGAATTATTAGTAACAACGAACAAGTTATTCATGTAAAGGTCTGACGATTTTGATCGTAACGATTATACCATTTAGATCGGTACATTGTACTTAATTTTGACGTACGGTATTGCTGCATTATCGTAATTTCGATTTCTTTTACCTAGAATTGATTTACTGATACACACGCGTTGTGGCGTCTCAATCACCATACAATTTTTATACGAACCACTATGAGCTAAAAAATTTCCGAAAAGTGACGGCGACGACCGATAACACTATCACGGTAATCGATTTACGTCGTAGAGTATTTTACTTGTTTTCGCTATTATAGGTAAATTTTGTATGATAATTTTCCAACTTTTGTTTTTAATAGGCTAAATTGGGGAATTTCAGTTGGAGAAAATACCACAGCCCCCCCCCTCAAAAAAAAAATATCTAAATACGCCCTTGGGGCCCCACAAATTATATATTACGATTATTACTTTATTTGTAAATAAAAATAATATAGTCCCAGTACGCAAATCGTCACCCTCGTAGTTGTGTGGTCTTCTCAGTAAACGGGTTGTTATCGATGAAAATTAAGATGGTACCAATTACGCATAGCTTTGAAGTATTATACGCGCAAGCACTTGTAAAATTGTTTATCGTCGACAGCAGTTCGAAATACAGTTATAGTATATATTTAGTTATATAATAATACGAAAAAAACACATTTATATAAACAATTAATAAATTAATAAATTATTATATTTGTATGAGGCCCCGCAAAATTCTGCATCGGGCCCCGAAAACCGTCGGGCCAGCACTGAGTACAAACATGCAAATGCACATAAATTCGGGCTCTAATCATTACTAATGACATTTGTATAACATGTTAAAAGATGTACTATGTCTACTAACATAAGTACTATGTCGTGTTTAGTGCATCGGTTCCCAAAGTGTGCGCCATGGCGCCTTGATGCTCCGCGATGTCTGTACAAGGGCGCCGCGCCGTATGAAATACTATCTGGTCTAAAGTTTTCCTTATGATTAGTCATGCTATGACTAGGAGAAGGGCGCCCTGAAAAAGCCTTAAATCAAAAAGGGCGCCGTGAGTCGAAAAAGTTTGGGAAGCACTGGTTTAGTGTGTAAAATACGTAGAATTAAATTAGATAGTGGCGGTCGGCGGATCCGTTGTTCAATCTCCGCTAGCCAAGCGCACCATTTAATAAAAATGTCTGTTTTTAAGATTTTTAATATTTGAAAAACTAAAGGTCATATTGAAATTCTGATACTTGCATCGTCTTAAACACATAAAACCACACAGTTATATGCAAATTAAATTTCAAAAATAAAATTGGTAAATCGTTGTGTGAAGCGAGGAACTTTTACACGTATAAGATAGGCAATTACGATGAGTAGGGCCCAGTGAAGTTACGCCGCTATTCTACATTTCTTAATGTCTCTTACAATAATATATTTTTTTTAAGTCGGATTTTCACCAAATAATTCCATATAGCCATAGCAAAAATAATTTAACATTTAAAAAAAATGTAAAGAATTTTTTTTTTTGTTGTGTGCTCCTTTAAGTTAGGCGTAAGTCATACTAAGCGTTTTCTACTGTAGCGTTTTACTGCATGCGGTCACCGTATTAATAGAACACACGCTTTTAAATGACACTGGTCATCTAAGCGGTCCGACGATGCAGTAGCTGCATTCGACCAAGCAGGATGCGTCAACAACGTACAACCGGAATCGAATGCCTTTTTTTCATACTGATTCATTATATTATTTTAGATGAGAGTAGTCATTCTATGCGTTTCGCGTGTTACACTCGTGTCTTGATTTAATATAATCCACATGTAGTTAATTTCCAAATATTTCTATCGCGTTAAGATCATTATATTATATATATAATATATATATTATATTATTATTAACTGTTCCAATAACTACTGCAAGTACTGAGAGAAGTTTCTGGAAGTTAAAAATCAATTTATTTATTATTTATTAATATTTAAGAATAACATTGGTGCAAGATCGACTTTCTGATTTAGCAATTATTTCAATTGAACGTGATTTGTGTGAAAATGTAAACTATAACGACATTATTGAAAATTTCACAGAAATAAAAGCCAAAAAATTAATTTTTGATGAATAAAATGATTTTACTATATATTTTAGTATTTTAATTCGTCTGTTTATTGTTATGTTTTATTAAAATGCATATTTGTATAAATATTAATTAAATTATGTGACGATATAATATAAGTATTAAAGTAATATAAGTAAATAAAGAAAAACATGTTATTTGAGTCAACTGTAAAATTATTTTATTTTATTTTCCTATGTTTTATAAAAAAAAAACCCCTTATTTAAAATTATAATTTACCTACCAAATTTGTTGTATGATAAGAATTATTGATGTCACTATATGTTTATACATATAACATAGATATAAATATATACCTAAAAGGTTTTAAAATTATTTTCGACCTGGGCTTCAGAAATCCTAAAGACGGCCCTGAAGAGGAGTTATAGGGCAATGCAAACGACCGTTTTTAAGGGGTTCAGTATAGGCAATAATAATGACTGCTTATGAGTTGATTCCTAGGTACCTGTTTACTTGCATCGATACCGGTGAATTGATTCCGTGGTTATTAAGAGGTATGTAGGAGTTGATTCCCTTTTGGTATGTATACACTTATGGGTTTTTTGTGCGTTAGATGCATCAGAGCACACCACAAGTTGAACAAAAAAAGGTTGCAATAACGCATGCCCTTTCGAGTTGAACAGCTATATTTTTGTGACGCACGCTACAATGCAAGGGTTTCCATGATCTCTAGGAATCCGTTCAACACACAGTGCTTTTTACATTAAATTTCGCTTATTGTTTTACTTTAATTATTTAATTTGACTTCTAAAATAATTTTAGTTGGAACTGCCTCTTTGAAACAAGTATTTTGTTTTACTATTTCTGGTTCAATTATATTTAATATTGAGTAAAAATGTATTCTGAACATTCATGTAAAGTTTTTAAATAAAATATCATCGACTAATTGCAAATCATAATAATTTTTAACATACAAAGAACGCTTTTTCCTACGTTTTTTTATTTGCACTTACAATAATTCAATAGGACGTGTTAACACCGAGAAATACATGTGAGTCTAACATGTTTTTTGTTAACGATCTGGAAGACGTTTGCTTTTGACGTTGCTCGTGTAAACAATAAAAATCATGCATTTATTGTATTTAATAAAGACATGCTTTAGATGAAAGCGGAATTGAATAACGTTGGACGTAGTAAGAGTAACAGTAAGTGTTATATGAAACTCATTTCTAGTAATAAAATTTCAGAAAGCAACACCAACATAACCAACAAAATCATAACCATGACAAAATTGAGGAAAGTACTAATAGACGGCAAACGCTGACCAATTGTTCCAAAAGAGGAAAATTGTGAAATATGTTTTTGCAAAACCTTCAAAATTAATTCGCAGAGTTAAAATATCCAGATAAAGGACTATAACGATTAATGACTTATCTCTTATACGGCATAAAATATACATCGAGCTCATTCTACTATGCATGGTCTACTACTAAAAATTGCTATAGAAACGCATGTCACTTTATAATCAATGAATTATAAAGTTATTGATAATGAACAGTTTGTATTTGTTAATAATAGTGTGATGAGTTCTATTATAAGTTTTTTGTATACTACGTTTCAAAATTGGAAATAACACCTACAAACTTAGACTAAAACTACAGCAATCCCAAAGTATAAATTTTGAAGAGCTTGATACATTTCGTTATGTTTGAATTAGTAAAACCGCGTAAAAATATAAATAGAATTTTGAAACGATTATAATAATTATATCGATTGTTCTACGTATGTTTTCAACTCACGGGCACTACACAAATCGGTCGGCATAGCCACACTCGGGATAAACGATACGTTGTTGAAAAACTTACGGTTACAGCGACGATCTGCTTGCATAGCGTGATTCGCAACGGCCTGCATACAATAGACGACGCTATATAATGACCGATTTTGCCGTCGCTATGAATTCAATGACCGATCGATCGCAAGCGGCCGGTGAAGGGGAAATATGCTCCGGCGGCGGTGCGTTTCGTAAATGGGTGTCGTTGACGAGCGACAGTGATCAGTTCGACATCGACGGTGACCGAGTGAGCTGTCGGTACGCCATCGCGGATTTCATGGCTACCTTCCGCGGAGACGCCGTGGTCGTCGAGCCGGCCGCATTCCGTTTCGCGTCGCAGATGGTCGCGCACGCCATCGTCGACCCCGCGGGTGATCGCTGCTCGTCCGGCGGCCGCATCCAGATCGCCGTCCGCCGACAGTCCGTCCGGTGCGCCAGGCCTTACCTGTTCGCGTATGTCGACGGCCGCCACTACGAAGTGATGGGCGTAAGCGAACCGTTCACGTTCACGCACCGTGACGGACAGTGTGACTGCGGTACCGGCGGCGGCGGCGGTGGCGGCGACAGCTGCAGTAGCGCAACAACGAAATTGCCAACGACCATCTCGAATCGTCCGACCGATGGGACAACGGGCGATTTCGTTTCCTCCGGGACAGAAGAAAAGGGTCGATACAAGGCACTTCAGTGCTCGGCGTGCCAAGTTCCGTCCAACCATCGAGAAGTGTTGGAAAACTTGATGAAAAATATCAGTTATTCGTCCGATGTCGACAACACTACCGATAGCGAACACGTCAAGTATATCTTATTTAAATAATCTGAAACCTACTTTTAACGCACGAATTATTATATTTTTATTATTATACGACCCATAGAATAAATAGTACACCGTTATAATATAGTAGGAATGACCAAGAATTAGAGATTTCGTCAAAGAATCATGATTATTAAGAGGCAGACATTAGATTATATCATAGTTTCATTATATTCTTCAAAAATACAACAGGTACTCACTTAAAGAAAACTAGTTAGTACCTTTTCTTGCCTATTTAGGTACTATTCAGTGTACCGATGGTGCAGTCGCTAGGGCACAAGCAAGTCATGCGTTGCTTTAGAGTGACATACGATTTTAAAGAAATTTAAGGGGCAAAATTAGACAAATATCGACAACAGACGAAAATCATTACTGTTACGAGTCTATTATCGTATTAATTCTACTAGCTCGCTGTGACCGCGAATGATGTTAGCAGCTTATCATAATTTCGATTTGTAATGTAATGCAATATTCGCTTTAGAGCAGAAAGTATTTAACGACGAAACTGCGTATATCTACGTAATACATTATGTTACATATTCGTTAAAAAAAATCAAGATTCATCTTGTGGGTTGGTAATAGAATTCAACGGCTGCAATATACCACAATTTTGAAAAGGATACTCGATTACCTTTTTAGAAACAAGATAGCCGCCACTTGTATCTTATAGCACTTAAAGCACACATAATGAATTAATATCCAATAACGATTTTCTTATATTATTTATGTTGTAATATAATGCGTGTTTAATATAATTTGGCTACTTTGGATTTACAGGAAAATTGAATGCTTGAAAAACTGTAAGTTGACATTGGAATACCAATATTTTAAAATTAATATGTTAACTGAAGAAACCGAAGATTGTCAGCGATTCGTAAATGGTCTGGTATCTAGTCTATTGAAAAACCACAAAGCCACTCTCAGGGTAGGCAACAACATGATTTGCGTGAAAAGACAAAAAAGTTCCGCCAACGAGCATTTTATGCAATCAATAATTAATTTTCAAAAAGAAACAATTTCGAATTTATCAACCACACACAAAAAAATATTAGTATTGATAAACATAACGCAATTGTTTTACAAAGTTTAGCAAATATTTACACATTAAAAAATGTGTTAGAATTATCATTGCTGATGTCAGGTTAAAATTTTTAAACATTTTCCTAATAATAATTGATAAATAATTTTAGCCTTGAATAATGGAATTACAAAAGGATACTCAAAAATTATTTATTTTGTTACTATATATAAATCCTCTTATGAATTAATGAGCAATAATAAAACAATATTTAGAACTTAGATAAACTTGAAAATTATATTCTTGAATAATAATAAATGTATAAATCATTAAATATTTTAAAATTTAATTATATCATTATTTTTTAAAATATTTAATTATTATTGTATAATTAAAAACATTTTTTGTATTCATATAATTAATTGAAGCTGTGTAAATATTTAATATATGTTTATCCATTATTCAAATATTCAATAAAATTAACAAATAAAATGAATTATTACTGTGGATAATTTAGTTTTATTTAGATCATACTAACATAGTATTTAAAAACTTATTGCCTATGGTTAGTAAGCAACATTGTTTAATCAAATTTGTACTTGGATATTGTAATGAAGATTCAACAGTTGAGTTTCACATGCATTTGCAAAAAAATGTAATCAATATTACATAGATAATAGAAGTTATTAAAAGTAAACCACGGAAATATAAATTTGAACTAGTAGAATTGACCAATAAATATCCAAAACCTAATTTTATTATTTTGTCGGTCTGCACCTATACTATCAATATAATAAATTATATAATTGTATAAATATTTAAAGTGAATAGTAGGCAATCTTCACTAATATCCATACAAAATGTACATAATATATGTATAATATAATATACAAAATATATTATTTTCATATCATATCGTATTAACATATTAATATCACTGACTATATATTATAATCAATGTTATGATCATTAGAGACCGGAATTATATGCACTAAAAATGTGGCAAATATGATGCAAATATGCAAAGCAAAAGGGTCAAAATATGCATTAATATGCACAAATACATGAAAAATATGCTCAAATATGCATTATAAATTTATATTACTTTATCAACTACAAACAATAAATTTATAACATAACAAATATAACAAAATTAGGAGTGTTGGACCTTTCAACATCAACTTAAATCAACAAAATATTTAAGTATATAAAAAAAAAAATCATTATATGTTTTTAAAACAGTTTAAACAAATAATAAAATAGAAATTTTGAACCTTTCAACATCAAATTAAATCAAAAAAATATTTAAATATAAAAAAACTATTATTTTTTGTTTTCATAACAATTAATTACAATATACATTTACATATTTTGTGGGGTCATGTTGGTTCTTTTTTCAGTTAATATCATTTTGTAAGTACTAAACGACCGTTCAATGTTCACAGATGTTATAGGTGCATATTTCACACAAGTACTCATCGTGGATGTAAAATTTGATGGTAAAAAACTTTCTTTTTTCCCGGATAAAACATCTGATATCTGCTTCAATATTTTAAAACCATCATTTTTGTGTATTAAATCAGAAACTTTCTCTTTAATAATTTTTCCATTATTTCCGGACACCATTTCCATGTTTAAAATAGTTTCATTAACAATTTTTGTCGCATTAAACAAAGGTAAATTAGATAACTAATTTTTTAATACTTTTAACAAGTATAAAAAAATTAGTTTTAATATATATAATATCAGTTTTAACAGACTCTAACTTAAGCATATCTTCACATTTTTTTATACTGACCACATTTTTTTCTTTCAAGTTTTCAATGATAATTATTTTTAGCTGTTCAAAATTATCAGCACAAAAGGTGGCTGTTTCAATCCAAGTACCCCCCTGGTGAGTATAGATTCTGGTGATAAGGCTACATTTGGCAAAACATCTTTGTAGACTTCTACACGATGAGGAGCTTTTAAGAACACTTTTTTTAAATTATTTACCAGTGTATTAACATTTGGAAATAATTCTCTCACTTTTTCAGCAATTCTTTGAAGCATATGCGCTAAGCATGTAACATGTATCATGTTGGGGAAAAATACATTTAATGTTTTACCTGCCTTTATCATATACGGGGCTGCATCTGATAATAATAGCAAAACTTTTTCGTCATTACCACCACTTGGCCACAAAATCCTTAAGCCATCATTGACAAAACATGCAGTAGTAGAATGATTTGTTTTTTCTAGTTTTTTACTAGCAATTAAAAAGGGATTGAAAGAGTTTTCACTACTTAATGCACTTTATTAAAAGATTAGCTATGTAGGTACCATTATTATCTGTTGTTTCATCTACAATTAAAAAAATATACGAATCCCCTACTTTTTCTTTTATATTTTTTATTATTTTATTATAACATGGTTCGAGATAAGATTTTCGATGTAAACTCTCGTCTGGTATATGTTGATTCGTGTATTTTTGCAAGAAATCTCAAGAAAATGGTGGAACTTGAAGTTTAAACCATGGTATGTTGGCAGCTACTAAGCTCAGAGATCTTCATTTAAATTATTGGTATTAGATTTGTAAACATTTCCCAATAGCATTTGTTTTTTATTATTTAAACTTCGTTTCAAGGAATCAGTATGAAAAGATGTATGAACATGTTGTGATTTGAAATTTTTTATTACACGGTACTTGGCGATTACATACCTGATAATAGACTACGTTTTCATCAGTGGTAAATACAATAGTGTCTCTATAATATATGGTTCAATCTACTGGTTTATCAAACACTTAATATTTTTTCGTATTTTAGACATTTTTTCAAATTATTTTTAATTTACGCAAAATAAAAATAAAAATGTCACTAAACCGTAATTGAAACATGATAATATGTACACCACTACTACACATGACAAAATTGTTCAATATTGCCATGCTACTACACTAATACATGAAACGGTAAAACATGGTGAATTTAAATCAGTGTATTAATTTTCAAATTTGCAGTGTGGTCAATGAATACTAAATTTTTACGCAACTTTAAGAAGTAACCTTAAAATTTATTTGTCAGATAATAGTTTATCAACACGGTATTGAACTCGAAAAAATAAAATTCTATACCGTTTTAATAGTAATTGAAAATTTCAATTTCCAAAATATAAACATGAAATAATTTGATTATTTACTATGATTTTAAAAAATATATACATTATATGCACTTATGCAAAAATATGCCCCAATCCTTCAAATATGCCATTATATGCAAAATTAAATTTGATCTATGGAATCAATTGGTTCGGAATCCCCCACATTTCGAATCCTTGTATAAGTGCATACACTCGGTATGAACATACAAATGCATAAAATTCCGGTCTCTAATGATCACCATTTGAAATAAAAATCAAAAAATGTTATTATCAATAATAATAATAATCATAATTAACATGTTCAATGCTTAAAAATTAAAATATCTGGATTAGTAAATAAAAAAGCCATACAACACTGTAACAATTATGAGAAAAACACTATCTCATATTAGAAATAACATTTTGCATATGAAATCCTAATTTAATTTCATTCAGCATGTTTATACAAATAATTGTATACATAATAAATGTATATTGTATATTATAGATATTATTAACATTAATACTACAAAGTTTAAAAATGTATTAAATGAATAGAAACATTAAAAACTGATAAATAAATAAATTTATTTATAAATACATATATGATACATTACTAAATAATTAAAATGAAATAAATCATAAATACAATAAATAATTGTTTAAAAAAATACATTTCTCAGAAACATGACTATTTATAAAGTTGGCTAAAGTAATTTGTTTACATTGTCCATTTAATGCATGAATTCAAATAATATCAGGTAATAATAATAATAATATATTAACTGATTTTATATACAATTTATAAAATACAAGAATATATTTTTTAGTATTCGCATATGTTTAAAATAAAACGAATATAAGTGTTTACTATAAATTAAATCAGTTTTATATTTAAACAATAAATCACAATAACAATTAAGATATCTATAGAAATCTACGAAATCAACAGATATAATAACCTGTGTATAAAAATATATAAATTAATATATTTTTGTATATATTAATTTTTGATATTACATAATATTATAACAACTATATTATTTGCTGAGTATAAAAATTTGTTGTTGTATAACATAAAGTATTTAACAAGTTATAAATGTTTGTATATTATTTTATCGCACATTTTTAGAAGTAAAAAAGTGGTTAACCTGTTAACATAGGTATAATTAAATACATTTTTAAATAATTAGGACTAGGCGTAATACATAAATATTTTTTATGATTTTTAAATAACTAGTTTTTTTTTATTTTTCTATAGAAATTCGGAATAAAAATTAATGGCATTTTAGGCATTTAAAAACAATATTATTATTATTAATTTATCATTATTCACTAGTACTATCTTCAATTGACGAACGTACCTGTTCAACATTTTCATTCATTGGGGAATGATTGTGATCATTTTCTGAGTCAGTATTATCAATTGAACCAGATGGTTGAATTGATTGAGAAGTAGTTCGAGGAGCTTCACTTCCTTTAGGTCCATCTTTTCCAGATACTAAATGAGAAGGTTCATTACGATTTTGCAACCCTTTTAAATTTTTTTCTCCTTTTCGCCATAATGTTATTTCCTGTAAATTTATAAAAGTAAAACTTAATATATTTTACTAAAAACAAAAAATATTCATATTTATAGATTATTTATTAGTCATAACTATATATTTTTCAAAACAATTGACATTGATAAGAGAGATTTGTTGAGACATTTTTTTAGCAGTATATAATTATATATCAAGTAAAAAGAAAATAGAAGAAATAAAATTATTCATAATTTTCCATTTCAATCTTTATATACTAAGAAATATTTAATACATAAGCTCATACATTTTTATATGAAGCAATATTAAAATATTTAAAAAAAAAGTCTATTTAACTTTTAGTAATTATCTTAACAGTTTTAACCTTAAATATTAACTTATATTAAGCTTACTTGTTGCTTAAAATAGCGTCTATCTTCTTCATCCATTAGAACAAGATTTAAAAAATATCTGACTGAAAACCTTTTATTCACATCCCTCATAGTAGGTGTGAGATCATAACCAGCAAGAAATACTCTAATAGGAATACTTTCTCCTCGAACAGGAGCTCCATCCATAATTTCATATTTAGCTATAGTTTCATTTTCATTAAATGTATTTGGACCTGAAAAGTTACATACTTTTATAAAAGCTCAAAAATACTTTTATACATTAAAAAATTATAATATTTAATTTAATAAATAAATCTAACCAGATCCTGTAGTTTCTCTTTTAATTATAGCAATTTCCATGTGTTTTATCTTTATCCGTACTAGTAGAAAATAAATTTTACCCACAATAACATCTTTTAAGTGATATCTAGAATTAAAATTTTAAATTATTTTAAGATGTTTAATGTATAGATGATTTGTTGTTGTTTTAAATAAATTAACTTACTTGCACTTATTATACTCAAACTCAATATGTAAACAATCCTCAATTCCTACTTCCATTTTTATACTATTATTCATATCAGGATAAGAGGATAAGGTATGTACAATAATATCAATTTCTTTAACAATGTCATAGATTCTTCGTACAACGGTAACTCTCAAAAAGTATCTAAAAATATAAATATTAGAATATTTAAATACTTTCAAAATATTGATGAATAATTATACACTATACCTTAGTCTCACATTAGAACCAGTATATGTTTCATATGGTTTTTCTACATTTAAAAATTCAAAATTAAAAGAAGTATTCTGCAACATTTCACCAGGCCTCGCCAGTTCCTTGACTAGTGATGTGAACTCATGATGGTTACCTCGGTCATAGTACATTTCTATTTGTCCTATGAATTCAACTTTAATACCCTGATGTTCCAAACGACTGCTAGATTTTTTTAGTATCACATTAACCTATAATTAACAAACAAATAATTTTGATTGATATTATTAGTTAGTTTGTACGGAATAAATTACAAAAAATTATTTTAAATGAATATATTAAACCAATTAATTTCTTGCTTCACTCAGACTCTAAAATAACTAATAAAAAAAAAAAGATAAAATAAGATAAAATACATTATGGGTAAACAATACAAATTTACTAATGTATCAACAATAATTGACAACTACAATAATAAAATCTAAATACATAGTTGGCAAAGCCAAAATATTTAAAAATACAAGTATCAAATCACTGTATATATTATATGAATTTATGATAATAAGTACAGATGTATTATTATTTACTATCTAATTAAGATTTATATGAAATGGTATCTACAATAATTAATTCATTACCTTTCCAGATACTGTTTCTCCATCATAATATATTAAACTTTGATCCTTTTTACTGCTTTCATCCAGTTTCTTCTTTCCATCTGGTCGATCTAAGACTATTTCTAACTCTGCTGTCTGCCCAAGACCAAAAAACGTCTGTAACATTTACATTATTTGATGTAATAGATATATATTTTTTTTTAGTAAAATGTTATTTAATTATTTATGGAAAAGAAATGATTTTATAATATTGATCACTTAAATTAATTTTAAACTATATAAATAGAATGACAGATTAATTGAAACAAAACAGATAAAATTAAACAATAACAAAACTGTCAAAATAAAAGATAAGACAACACAGGTTTTTGAGAATTTAAATATTAACGACCAATACCCAGGCCAAAAAAATAATAATATTGAGTTATGAAATGTATTTATGTAATAAAAAAGAAAAGAATTGTTTAATTTCAAAACAAAATTATTAGATTTAGCTTAAATTAATTACAAAGATAAAACTATGCATTTTAAAAATATTAATAAATAACTCTATTAATAAAAGATTAATTTAAAAATAAATAAAAATTATTTAGATAAACTTTTTTATTAGTTTAGTTCTAATCTTACAGTAATATGTTTTAACATTTTTATTTATAATATTTATTTATAAAAGAAACTAAAAAATGTAAGAAACAGACAAATTTGGGAACTCTTGAATACCTGTCATAATTTTAAATAAAGAATACCGATTTCATGTTGATATAATAAAAACATGTTTATAATATATAATTAGTTATTAAACAATCAAAATGAATAATAACTTATATTGTGTACTAGTATAGGCTAAAAGATAAGAAAGAATAGATAATATTACATTACCTTTACATACATATTATATGAATGTAAAATGTATATATAATGTATATATTTAATAGTTTTAAAATATAAATAACATTTTTTTAATTTTACTATTAAAAATAATAAAACAAAATATATTATTTATTAGATTATACAAAATGGTATGAATAGGATATTGGACACTTATACTTTAATAAATATGGATTTAGTTTTTGACTAAACCTAGAAATATTAGCACTTGGTGTTCTATAAGTATTAAATAATAAATTAATTCTTAATAAATATTTAATTACAATTAAAAAACTATAACTAGTAATGATATACATTAAAGAACTCATTATTTTTAGAAAATTACATACTTTTTTAAATACTACCAAAATATTTTATTTTGAGTTTTTATTTATTTATTATGTATAGGTACTTATAACTTGTGCTAGGAAAATTATAGTTAAAATTAAAAGATATTTAAATGGTTTGTCATCATTATCAAAAATCATAATTAATAATACTTCAATGGTAACTAATTAGATTAAAATTACTTACTTATCATAATCATATCTCAAATCTTATGTAGACACACATATCATAAGGTACAAAGGAGAAAGTTTATAATATAATTTATAGGTATAAATTAATTTTAAAAAGTGTAGTTGGTCTAAGTAAACTAAGCTATGAAGATTCCGAACAAAAGTCCAGACAATACATAAAACAAATTTAATATGGTACGGTTAGACTCTGGGGAAAATAAATATCAGTGATTTACGGACAAATACTGTACAAGTAGATATATTATTATAGCCATGGATGGCACTCACCATTTTCGAATGTTGTTAACGAATTTCGTATTCAGTCCACGTAAAACTACCGTCGTCGACGCTGGCGATGTGGGACACACGGAAATACTCGTCGAAGAGAATGAAATGTCTACTGCCGAACACCAAAACAAACAAGGTTCGTCGTACCCTCAATTAATTGAAATCATCATCGAGCCGGCTAGCTGTTGTGGACACGCAACAAGGTGGTACGGGATACGCGTTCTATCTTTTTAAGAAGTAATATTTTTTCAATCGGGACGCACGACAAGAAAATATCACTACGAACGTTAAGCGGAGAAAAAAAACCCCCGAAAAAAATACCAATAGTCCGATGAACAGAATCACAGTATCAAATAATATAATACAATAGTGAATTAATACAGGCACATCTATGTACACACATAAATAACAATATAATACAATTAAAATGTGGGTATATATTTTAATAACAATATTAAAATATAATATAGTTGGTGAAAAGTTGAGTTATGTTTTGAGATAAGTTTTTTTCACTGTGACGGGATATTTATTTGCCCAGTGTGGCCACGCCATGCAGCCAAATTACTCGTCGTGCAGAAGCCGCAAGGGCCCGCCTCACTGTACAATCATAAAAATAATAATATATTTAAATGTACATAATGGTATTTAATACATATTTTTATGCATTAATTCATTGTTATGTATTGTACCACATGTACCCACAGATAAATAAAGAAGCTTATATATTGTCCGTGTATGTGTGTATGTGTGTATATTACTTACATACTTATTTAAAACTAAGTTAGTAACTTACATATTTTATACGAATGCTTTGGTCCTAGACATAGAACACAAGTGTTTTCATCGGATAACCTCGGATTACATTCGACATACAATGTTAAGACAATAAAATAATGTTCTCGTTTGATTGGGTATTGTTTTTTTTTTTTTTTTTTAAAGGCTCCTACTTTTTTTTATCTAATACGTAATTGGTAATTTCATTTAAATAATCGATCGTTTCTTACAAGCGTAGTTTTACAGCACGCAGAACCTTATCTGATTCGTGAAAATAATCGAACCATGCACACAGTTCTGTACTGGCAGTTATAATACTACGGTTAGGCACGTGCCTATGGGGGGGATATTTAACTCTCCCCCCCTCCTCGAAAATTTTAACCATTTTAGAAAAAATAGTGCTCAATATTTTTAGTCAATTTATGTTTAATGTTATAAACATTTGCGAGGATTATTTATACAATCCATTGTCGATCTATCCAGTACTATACAATTATTACCAAAGTTATTATCATGTGAAATAAATACATTTGAAATACGTGGTAGAAGTAATGTTGAACTCCCTCCCTCCGAAAAATGTTCTAGACACATCACTAACCACGGTATTTTTAATTCCATGTTCTTTCCTATGGCTAGGTGTGTATAACTTATTTGATCTTTTTTCTGATTACACCCCAATTTACCTTGAGGTGGGTATCAGGGCAACTAAATTAACTAAACCTTCTCTCACTAATGATAGAGTAAACTAGACTAAATTTAAAAAATTACTAACCGAAAAAATAAACCTCAAACTCTCTTTAAAAACTACTTCCAAAATTGACAGTGTTACCCTTTCTTTAACTTCCACTATTCAAAATTCTGTTTTAGCTGCCTCAAGCAACCACCCTCCGCCACAAAAAATACTAATATTCCTGTCCATATTATGCTCTTTTTCGCTGAAAACGTAGAGCTAGATTCAAGCGACAAAAATTTAAATACCCTTCGGATAAATTAAGGCTTAATCATTTGAAAAAATAACTTAAACAAAGCTATTCAAAAACACAAAAACAAAAATTAACACAATTATATCCTAAATCTTTCAACTAAAGATTCGACTTTATAGAACTCCACTAAAAAATGTATCCGTCATAAACTACCATCCCCTCCCCTCCGTATGCCAACAACTCGTAGGCCACTTCAGACTCCGATAAAGTCAACATTTTTGCCTAACACTTAGCTAGCATTTTTAAACTACACAATATTAGTTCAAATAAAACCCATATTGTTATCGTTTTATCGGTTAGGTTTATTGGTTTAGGCTCATTATGTCGATAGACATAAACGAATTTTCTAATACAATTAAATTAGAAACAGTCTAAAATTAAATAAACAGTCTTAATTCTCAAAATAATATCCAATCATTTTATATGAAAATATACGTTTTTTTAGGGTTGTTTTTATAACTTTGGTATAACTAAGTGGGAAATTTTTTTATTAAATTTTTTATCATTTTCTATTCCGTGTTGATCAATTGCAAAAAGTCCCATAAATGACTCTTTTAAAGTTTCACTCAAATATTCTCTTAAAGCCATTAATAAAATAAATGACAATTGTAAATGTTTTAATAACCATAAAACTTAACGCTTGTAGGCAACTATAACCAATAAGTAATAAACTAATAGAATAATATTATATATTGATTCCCAATATTATTATTAGATATCAATACAAGAACCCTATACATAGATAGGTTTTTTATGTCTTATTACCGTCAGACGCATATTGTCACGAGTCATGAGCAGTGTTTTGCATTATCTAGATGAAATATAGTTATCTTTTTATCTTATCTAGATATAAATTATTTTAAGTATATTTTTATCTTATCTAGATAAATAAATGACCATCTAAGAATAATCATCTAGATAAATTACTATTCGGTCAATAATTTAAATATTTTTGACCCAAAATTATATAACTACCCTTGTAGATCAGAGATATTTTGTCCCAAACAAATAATAAAATACAATAAGCAAATTGTTTAGAATCACCTAGTGCGCATCACGCTCTGAATAAACTCGTATTGAGTCTTATGTAACGTATACCGTAACTGAGGGTTTCTTTGCACAAGGCCAGTGAACATTGCTCCAAAATATATTTTTGTGTTTATTTGTTATCACGAGTTATAAAATGATATCACTTGATTCATTTTTTTTTTGTATGAATCTTCACAATATTTATAACCCGTCGTTTCCTATACAACTTCAAATCATTGATTTCCCTCCAAACTGTGTTTAAGTGATAAGCCGTGTTATCAAACACACAAAAACCGTTTCATACAAAATAGTCAAATTTCGTCAAAAAATAAAATATTAATACTGGTAAGACATTCAAAATTATATCTTATATGTAGTGCAGATTAAGATTATGTATAATTTTAATCGAGTTGACATTGTTTTATTATGTTAATAAATTTAAATTGTGAAATATATTTAAATTTGACTTTTTTTTGCCAACTTTGCACCAACCAATATTTGGTGCAATGTTTTAATTTTTTTTACAATACCTATGTTAAATAATGTTTAAATTACCTAATGTTATTTAAATATTTTTAGAGGATGCCAAACAAATACAAAAAACAATTAGGTTCACGAAACTATAAAAATTATTCTGATGAAACATTAGAAAAATGCCTAAGTGAAATAAAAAATAAGACTATGACACAAAGGGAAGCTGAGCATGGTATTTCACGTCGAACTATCAACTACAAACTTAAAAACCTTCACAATTTAAACATTGGTCGTCCATTAATATTTTCAAGCAATGAGGAGAAAAGTTTTGTTGACCATATAATAATTATGAGCAACTATGGATTTCCAATTGATAAAACCGATTTAAGACATGTTGTGAAATCATATTTAGATAGAATTGGTAAGAAGGTGAGTGTGTTTCAAAATAATTTACCAGGTCTATCTTGGACTGCAAATTTTATAAAACGACATAAGAACCTAAGTATTCGATTGGCTTCGAATATTAAGAGGACAAGAGCTGCAATTGATAAAGACATTTTACAAAATTATATGACAAATATAAAAGAAACTCTGTCTGGTGTACTTCCTGAAAATGTTTATAATTACGATGAAACTAATTTGACTGACAACCCTGGTCAAAAAAAAATATTAGTTAAGCAAGGAAGTAAATATCCAGAACGAATATGCAACACTTCTAAAGTTTCTATTAGCCTTATGATGTGTGGAAATGCTAAAGGAGAAATATTACCACCTTATGTTGTATACAAAGCAAAAGGTCTGTGGGAACCTTGGACACAAAATGGTCCCAAAAATTGTCGGTATAACACTAGTCCTTCAGGCTGGTTTGATGCAAACATATTCCAAGATTGGTTTGAAAAAACACTTTTGCGTCATTTAAAAAAAAGCCCAGGGAAAAAATTTGTCATAGGGGATAATTTATCTTCACATTTATCTTCTCATATTATTGAAATTTGTAAAAAAGAAAATATATACTTTGTGTGCCTCCCTCCAAATAGCACACATCTTACGCAACCGTTAGATGTTGCATTTTTCCATCCTATGAAGGTGGCTTGGTGAAAAATTTTATCTGACTGGAAGAGTAGTACCGAAGGTTTAAAAAATACTGTCTTGCAAAAACAATCATTCCCTGCATTATTAAAGTAGTTATTAAATATTTTACAGCCTACAATGGCAACAACATTACAAAATGGTTTTAAACAGTGGTGTATATAGGGGGGGGGGGGTGGGGGGGTAACCCCCCCCCCCCCCCCGAAATTTATGGTTAGTACGATCTACGTGTGCATTTCTTTAATCTATGTATTAATTAAAACCAAACTGTCTAGTATGGGAAAAAAATGCTCTCTCCTAATTTTTAAGCAAATTATACGCCCAATTCTTATCTACGCTTGCCCGGTATGGGGTAATTGTGCATCCTCGGACATCAAAAAAATGCAAATTGTCCAAAACAAAGTCCTCAGAATAATTGCAAATGTTCCGTGGTTTGTCAGAAATCCAAATCTGCTATTGATACTTTGAATAAACTATCCATTGATTTTTTTTCCAAATATATGGTGTCATATATATATATATGTCAATACTAGTAACTTTACCAGTCTCAACAGCGTCATCAGAAAGATCGTTTTCGATATTGAAAAGATTGAAGTCGTGCTTGAGAAATAGTACAAGCGAAAATCGACTAACAGGATTATCTCATGTCAATTCATCGAAGTATTTCAATAAACACTGAAGAAGTGATAAATAATTTTGCAAATCTACCTCGAAAATTAGATTTTGTTCTGTAATTAAATTTATGTATTCTAATTTTCATAGTTATTAAAAATAAGTTAATTTATAACCTTCATTTAGTATATATTTTTTCATAACCCCCCCCCCCCCCCCCGAAATTAATTCCTATATGCGCCACTGGTTTTGAAAAATGTGGAATATATCCTTGTGATATAAATGAATTATTAGGAAGACTTCCAAATTCTGGAGATAATAATTCCTCAATTGAAGAAACCTTTATTCAGCATTTGAGTGCCAAAAGATCAGAAACTGTACAACCTCTGAGAAATAAAATAAAGAAACTACATGTAGCACCCGGCAAAAGTTATGCTCATGATGATAGTGAAAATTCTTGTGAAGAACAATCAGATGAGTCCGAAGATGTTGGCTCGGTTACTGATGAAAGAGATGACTGTCCAGTTAGTAAGAATGGAAAATACTTAGAAAATGATTTTGTTATATTCAAGTATATGGAAACACTGTATCCTGGTCGTGTATCAAGTATTAAACCTGATGGGGCTAATATATAATCTATGGAAAAAACAAGAAAATTTTATAGATGGCCAGAAAAAGTAGATGAAATGTTTTACCTATGGAAAGATATTATGATGAAGATAAAACCCCCAAAGTTAGTCAGAAGAGGTTTCTTTAGAGTTGAAGAATATAGTATTTATACAGAATAGGAGGCATAAGACTGTTAGGTATAAGTAAATTTAGTTTTTATTGGTAATATTGTTTTTTTTTATAAAATTACTATATTGATATGTATATTCAGAAGTTATAAGCAATAAGTAAGCAAAGAATAGT